TTGTCTCAAATTCAGCTCAGGTGCTAACCCTTCCAGGCAGCCCTCTTGAGGCCTCATCTGATGCAGGTGCACCTCTTCTGGGCTCCTACAGCACCTCTGCCCTCAGCACCAAGAGGAGTGTTCTATTGGCGCTGGTGGTCTTCTCTCCTCTCTTTTGGGTTTATCAGGGACAAGGCCCTATTAAACCTTATATCCCAGTGTTTAGAACAGTATATGCCATATTGTGGATGCTTACTCGATGTTTGACAGTAAATGACAGGCTATTCCAAAGAAATAGATACACAGAATTGGCAGAAGTGGACAGAAGCAGATCCTTCTATTTGTTGTTGGTGAGTGTCTGAACTAATACAACCTCTTGGGAAGTATCAATCAAAATAAAAAAGATACACACAATTTAGCAATTACGTAGAATGAATACTATAGAGAAATACACATGTATAAACAGACAATGGCTCAAGCATCCAACGAATTCTAACAGCCATTAAAAAGAAAAGATGAGGCAGCTCTCCATTGAATATCTGTCTACATCTATGAAATATTCCCTCAGATTCACTAGGTAAAAAGAAAAAACAAAGTCCACAACAACGTGCAGGGCATGCTAATATTTGCAGTAAAGGATGTGCTCATATGTATACCACACTCGTATGCTCCTATATAGGTGTCTGGGTCATAAACAAGAAAATTCAAATAATGGTTGTCACTGGGGTTGTGGGGAATAGAAGAGGAGGGAAGGAGACTTATTTTTTATCATTTGACCTTTAGTTACTTTCTACCGCTTAATTATGTGGCTATATCACTATCGTGAAAACAAACTTTCCTGGTTGCTAGGGAGCTGGAGGCTGACCTATGGTTTAGGAGAGTGATGATTTTGCCCAGGCTGAGGTTGTGACCTAGAGGACGCTGCCTCTCATTCAGGAACTGGGAGAACCCAATGTTAACAAATATTTGCTTAAATAGAAGCACGTGGGTTGTTAAGGTAAGCTTTTCCCAAAAGGGACAGAAGCCCCAAGGAAAGAAACTAAGTGGCCTAGCAATAAGGGAGTTTTCCAGATCTTGCAAGACCCCACCCCATGCAAACAGGGTCACTGCAGCTGGGTACCACCCTCGGGTACCCTGGAAGTTAAGGGAAGCCCCTCGGGTACCCTGGAAGTTAAGGGAAGTGCAGCTGATACAGGCTTCATCTGTTCCTGCCCTGTGTCGTCACATTACTTCCAAAAAGATTTTGAGTGCTTGGCTAATTAAATCAGGACTCTTATCTAACTTTTGAGTGGGAGTTTGTATCTGTGGGCTGTCCTCACCAGTCTGGAGCAGACTGGAAGTGCTGCACATATCTCTTTCAAAGAAAGGAAGGAAGACCAAGACTAAGGAAAGGAGGCAGAGGGCCAAAGACACCTCCTTTACTTTTCTCTATTGCATTCTTTCCAGACAGGTGGGAGAGGCCATGCCTACAGAAGGAAGTGGTGGTGCCATCTGGAGGAGCCTAAGTGGCCCCAATGCAAATTTTATGATTAGGAAGATATTCTTTGGTCTGATGGTTCTGGAAAACCTTTTGTAAGTGGCACTTCTAAACAAAGACTCTCTGCTCAAATCTTGGCTTCTTACATACTAGGGTGGGGTGGGGCATTTCATTTTCTATCTGCCAGTACTCAAACCCTGGCTTACAACTGACCACTTTCCTAAGTGTATTATCCCCACCCTAAAGCCACAGATTTTATAGCAGCCAATTAGGCGGCATTAACCAATACTTCCTTGTTCTTTGTAGTAAAAGAAAAAAAGTCAGCTTTTGTTGCTGTTAGTCTTGATGCTCATTTTGTTTTGGGTTTAGGGCAAAGTTCCAAGGAAACCAACAACCAGCTTCTTTAGAATGTGGTAGGGGGTGCCTGGGTGGCTCAGTCGTTAAGCTCCTGCCTTCGGCTCAGGTCATGATTCCAGGGTCCTGGG